CTAGACACTGTTCAATTTTTGTTCAATATGAATAATTTCCAAGGGGTCGGATTTAGAAGTAATTAACCACGAGCAATATTACAATGGTTGCAAGTGGCTCGGAGAGAGAGAGAGAAATGGGGTTTAACGTCCACTCGACACAAACTAGGTCATTTCGGGACTAACATATGGTTTAATTTTATTTCTATAATTCGCTTGCGCATAGGGGTCTTTAGCAGTGGGAGGAAACCGGAGGACCCGGAGAAAACCCACGAGGTTGGACAGGCGACCCTACTCCTTGTCACGTACAACCGGGGATTCGAAACCACGCCAGTCGACTCAATGACAGACTTTATGATACAGCGCGCGCACGCTAACCATTCAGCCATCCAACCCCCAGCAAGTGGCTCGGAATCGGATGGCCATGTCTATACATTGATCTAATACAAACAGGGGATGTAGAGAAGTGTGTAACACTGTTTTAATCTCCAGGCATTAAGTGAGGTGTAATATATCAACATTTTATTCTGGTGAAAGGAGCTACAACGCTATTCTATGGAAATTAAACTGGACCAAAATGGTTCAAAGGCTCACACATGTCATATAATGCATGTAACCTATTTTCTTTTTAAAAAAGAAAACACTTTTATTGTAATTTCTAATCAGTTTTGTTCGTCGAAACGTGTTAACAGTCCAAATTGAATGGCAGTTACCCGCCCATGCTTCGTCCAGTCTACATAGGAAGTGCGTTTTTTATTGCACGTCAAAGATGAGTAAACAGAAACGCAATATTCTCCTTCCTTGCAGCGTGTGGCCACAGTGCATGTAAATAATAATATCTTTTTAAAATATTATAATTATTCCCTTAGCTTTTTAGGGGGGGGGGGGGGGTGTAGCCAAACGAATTCATATCATTGTTGGAATGCATGTAAATAGTGCAAAACCCATTGTCGCCTTCAAAACTGTCAACCAATGAAATTTCAGGGTTTGGAAACAATACATTCAGTAAATAATTGATCTGAAGACAAGAAGTGCTTTATACAAGCACAGCACTATGGTTATCCATTATAACACTGTACAAATAAAACCGACAAATAATATAATTTTAATTTAATAGGGCATTTCAAAAAACAAAATACAGATATTATTATAACATACAAGTTGTAACATCCTTACTATCTCTGGTAACAAGTCATAGATTGAACATTAACCATTTTCACACAATTCACAGAAAATATTCCACTATACAGTATTCTATGTTGGGTTACGCCCTACTCTGATTTATAATAACAACTGTCAATGCAAGAAAGGAATTTAGAACATTAAAGTCAATGGGAGAATGTTTGGTGGACTATCTCTACAAGAGTTATTTCCCTTTAAAGCTGTACACACCTTATTGCACATAACTGATGTTTCTGTAAATACACCTATTACATGTTAGTATTCAGTAGAAACGGGTGTCATAAATTAGGCACTTTCCAGATACCTGATACTATGTTGAAATAGTAACGCCTGTTAATTTGAAGCCCACATATTAAGCTATTATAATAAGTTGGGTTTTTTTAATTCAAGGGCATCAACTTGTTTTTTGAAGATCAAACCACTATCCAATAATACACCTAATTGTTTTACCACTGATTTTGGCGGAAATCTCATATCTGCCATGTCGAATTTAAGTTTGAGAGGTCCAATAATCGAGTTTTGGCGCCGCAAAGGATAACTTCAGTTTTATCTGCATTTAAAACTGCATTTAAAGGTAGTGTTACTTTCGAGGCAGAATACAAGATAAACGATCTCCACATCCGGCCTGACCTTCCCAACCACAAGGCGCCCCATAGCTCACTGACCTCACTATTTAACACGCACGTGTTGGGCCACTCAACCCAGCCAAAGTACCCTCTTCCCTACACCACAGAAGATTTCATGCTCACTGACATGAATAATATGCTTACATTTTAAACAAATTATGAAACCATGGATCGATAAATTGTCAAAATAGTTTAAAGGCAGGAATGAACGAAAGAAGACACTTCAAATTCGCTTTTTTCTACAATGGCTAATGCACAGTTGCAATTGAAGTTTATTCCCACAGCTAAAGGCGGCAGATACCTATGTGTTGTTGGTTTTAAGTATAGATTGAATAAGAGAAAGAATAACGACTTCGTCACATGTGGGATTTAGATCTACAGCATCTACCATTAATGATATATTTAACAGAACAGACAACAACCACACCCACCCACCGGTCCATTCCGATATACAGGTAAGTTAATGTGTTATAAGGAATATCTTTAAAATTTCACTTCAATTCTCAATTTCAGTTTCAGTATTCTAATTTTATATTATATATTATTATTAAATAAATAAATATTTATTTTATTGATTACGTAAATGATGCAGAATTCAATGTTCAACTATATCAAGAGGAAATCAACTAGGCTTCTCTATACATAAGACACGAGTCACAGCTCTGTGGAATACATTTACTGTGTATCAACTGTCTGTTACTGGTCGACTATTTAACCTATACACGTAAGTCAGGAACATTTAAATAGCAATCATTCATTCAAAAAAATGTAAATTAATGATAATTTATTGGAAGCAGTAATTATATGAAAGAATTAAATGCTGGTATGTTATTCATAAAGCGACCTCAAAGTTGTATTTTGTTGCCATTATGCTTTACTCATTTAAAGATGATATAGAAATAATGGGTTAACGTCCGGCTGATGAAGTGTGCAATGCAGGATATTTTGCCCAGACAGCGGGACTACGGCTTGCTGTTATGTCGACTTCCAACTGTCATAGATTATTTTACGTGCACACCGATATTTTAAGATGCTGGTGAAGTTTATTTTCTTTAGAGTTTGTTTAAAATAAACCAGTATTCATTAGCCCAGTAGGACGTTAAACCCGATTTCAAGTTATGTTTAAAATTGAAAGAATACGACGACTATATGCAGTTATTGATCACAGGTTGTGAGTCCTTTCTACTGTCTGATTCCGTTTTATGATCTGGATTTACATTATAAATATACGAATATAAGCGTATATTCGATTATTGCACAGCGTAATTGATAGGAGACCTAACAATCTACAGCGCATGTGTAAAACCCCCGGCCCGCCCTTTTTCAAATATATACAATGGTTAAAAGATAAAGATAACACAATAATGATTATGTAATGGACGGTATATCGGGAAAACTATTATTATGTTCAGAACAAGGATGAACCTCCATCGTCAAAATATCCTGAATCCACAATATAGGATGATCCCACTAAGTGGCCATTTAGATGTTTGCGGTGGGAGAGTTTAAAGTTTTCCCGTTATATAAATTAAATAGCAATAACAACGATTTACTAGAGGCCAAAGAATCATATTTTATGAAAAATATCGGCCAGAGTTAAATGCAAAATTGTTAAGTGTTATATTGTATTATCATTGTAGTCTAAGTTATAATTTCAGTTATGCTCCTTCTGAACACTACTCTGTAAATATGACGCTATGACGTCATAATCATTATTGTGTTATCTGTATCTTTTAACCATTATATATATATATTTGTTTGAAGATCATTAGCGAAAGTACTTACAATTATATACAAATGTAGTTCTTTAATCCATATTTTATTTATTTTTATGTGTATTCATTACCTAAGAGCAGTCAACTTTAACCTATTTTTGTATGTGTGTGTGTGTGTGGGGGGGGGGGTCACGTGGCTAAGTGGGAAAGACGCTGGCTCGCTAGCCTGGAGGTCGGGTGTTCGATCCCTGCATTGGCCGAGAAAGTTCATCCAGATTTTCCGGCGTGGTTTCCCCTTGTCAGTGATGCAGAACGGATGGCCCGACAAGGACAGCTGTCTAGTCGTTCAGATGGGACGAAAAACCGAGGTCCCGTGTAAACATTGGCGTGCACGTAAAAGATCCCTTGGCAGTTGGAATTCGATATAAGAGTAGGCCGTAGCGCCGCTGCCCGGGCAAAATTTCCCTCATAGCACACTGTATGGCGTATGCCCGTCTTCATTAGCCCCGGTTAGGAGCAGAACAGTAGGACGTTAAACCCCATTTCATTTCATTTCATTGTATGTGTGTGTAATACTGTAATTTAGAATTGTAAGTTGTATAGTAAACATTGGTTATGAACACATAAATAATGGCAACTATTGTATTTTCAGGGCCAAGCATAAAATATGTTCATAGCAATGAGTAATGCCAGCATAATTTGTGTTTAATGGTTGTTATGGTATATGAAACAGATTATAGTATAGATTAAACAGCATAGATTATTACATCGTACGATATAATATAAAACTGTATTATGTGTTATTTGTTGATGATATGAACTGATTTTAAAGCCCTTTCTCTTATTTTCAATAAATAAATCTATTGCTCCGAACTACGCAGGTATTACCTATCAGCTTTAACACACCATTGCAGGTGATGGCAAGGGTAGATCTGCAATAGTAAAGTGTTAATATTTATCATAAAGGAAGACAAATATAATAGGATGAAATATATTTAGTAAATATAACCGTAGAACTAGAATACTAATAGTATTCTAGTTCTATTAGTAAATGCAGGAGGATCACACTGCACGCAAAACAAAAATCTACAAGATAAACTGCGGACAAGACAAAATATAGCCAAATATCAAATCAAGTGAATGGATCCGGGGGCCAATCGTAAGCTTCCACTGCGCTGTACTGTGTCGGGCCTATAATGGTACATGCTTCACTCAAAATGAAAAAAAAAGAAGATAATTTACACGCCTGTGCAGGGGGCGAACACGCCCTCAATCTCCTGCTCTACTACGCCGCTGCTTGGAAATGTAAGCGTTTTCACCCCCATTGTCGATGTTATTACCCCTTTCGTCCTTTCCCTATTCTTCGAAATTTGGATGGCGAATGAGAATCTAGGACAACTAATTTGTCTATCGGTCATGGAAAACAACCAATCGTTATGGGGCTACCCTTACTGATAAATACACGCCAATCAGTATGTGTTTATTAATTAAACCGTGTAGACAACTGGAGTAGAGGCGAATTGTTAATAATATTCTATACAGGCATCTCGTTATCGACTCGGTTCTAAAGACGGATTATTTTTATTAGGAAGTGTTAACTAACTGTCAGAAGATTAAACACAGCAACACCTATCAAGTGAGTAGAGATATTTTATTAGGAGGTGTCAGGATATTAAATACTGTAACACCTATAAAGTGGGTAACGATATTAATTTATTATTGAATAAAATTAAAATAGGTACAGAGACATTCAAATGTTTATGGCGATTGTACATGCACGCCAACGATTACACGGATAAACCCCAACTTTTCCTCAAATCCGAATGCATGTTATATACATGTTGGACGTATTTGTAATTCAAATTGTCTACTGGCCGGGGGAGCCACGGTGGCTAGGTGGTTAAGACGCTGGCTCGCTAGCCTGGGGGTCGGGTGTTCGATCCCTGCATTGGCCGAGAAAGTTCACCCATTTTCCGACGTGGTTTCCCCTTGTCAGTGGTGCAGAACGGAGGGCCTGACAAAGACAGCTGTCTAGTCCTTCGGATGAAACGAGGTCCCGTGTATACATTAGAATGCACGTAAAAGATCCCTTGGCAGTTGGAATTCGATATAAGAGTAGGCGATAGTGCCGCTGCCCGGGCAAAATTTCCCCCATAGCACACTGTATGGCATATGCCCGTATTCATTAGCCCAGTATAGGAGCAGAACAGTAAGACGTTAAACCCCATTTCATTTCCATTTCCATTTGTCTACTGGCCGTTATTGTAGCTGGAAAGAAATATTTGATTTCCCTAATTCTAGACATAAAGGGAGATTATTCTGTATAGAGAGATCTAACACAAACTAGAACATTTCGGGATTAACATCGTTATTCACTCGACTCTTTGCAGTTTGAAAGGGAATATCTCGACATTGGTAATATTTCAACGTTGGTAATATCTCGATAATAGCTTTAATTTTAGATGTTTACACCGAGAGCGAATTGACAAATCAACACACAAAATTCCACGAGATCGTCAATTTATTTTGCGAACCAAAATAAAATGTGTCTACCATTTTAATGAATATATTTGGATGACTTGTTAGTGATCCAAAATTATTAAATGTTTATGCATGTATTCATTCGTTGTAAGCCTACTGATTTTATTATTATTGAAATAATTCCTTTTTATTTTTCAGATTAAAGATGGGTCGTTTGATTTTAGTGTTATTCTGATTAATCATGTCTCTTTTTCAGATTAAAGATGAGTCGCTTGAAGATCTTGATAGTTTTTCTTCAAGTGCTTTTGAGTTTTTGTGTTCAAGCACAACCCGTGATACTTACAACGCATGGGCGTGTGGAGGGATTCCGACAGACTGTATTGGACATTGACGTGGATACATATTATGGAATACCGTTCGCTCTGCCGCCTGTCGGTGATCTACGATTTCAACCTCCTGTCGATGCCAGACCCTGGAACGATACACGCAATGCCACAACGAGTCATAACTCCTGTCACACCGTAATAGACATGGCATTTGGATGTCGAAAGGGTGTGGAAATGTGGAACCCTAATACACCCATGAGCGAGGACTGTCTGTATCTCAACGTGTGGATGCCTCGCGGGGTTTCCTTATCGACCAATAAACCAATGGCAACCATGATTTGGATTTTTGGCGGGGGGTTCTCAAGCGGCACTCCCACACTAGATGGGTACGATGCCAAATATCTAGCCGCCTTTAACGATGTGGTCGTAGTCTCGATCAATTATAGAACTGGACCTTTGGGATTTTTATATCTAGGCACGCAAGATATACCTGGAAACATGGGGCTCCTCGATCAACAACTAGCACTGCGTTGGGTTTTCCAAAATGTAGAAAATTTCGGAGGAGATAAAAGTATGATAACACTGTTTGGCGAGAGCGCGGGAGCTGCAAGTACAGGTCTGCATTTATTCAGTCCTGGATCTAAAGATTATTTCAGTCGTATTATTTTAGAAAGCGGATCTCCGTTGGCGGATTGGGTTCTGATGTCAAACAACGAAGCCGAGGAAAGGGCTCGGAGGTTTTCCAGTAGCGTCGGTTGTGACGTCACTGACAAAATAGCAGCGTTTAACTGTTTACTGACAAAAGACGCATCAGTTTTGACTGAAGGACAGTGGAATGTTGTGGAAGGTGGTTTACTAGATGTTCCGTTTCCCCCCGTGGTGGATCGGGAGTTTCTCATGGACGAACCTCGCAAGCTACTTGCTACTGGTGACTACAAGCAGACAGACGTATTGATGGGGGTGGTGAAAGATGAAGGTTCATATTGGCTTTTGTACGGTCTACAGCAATATTTTGGTTTAGAAAACAACACAATTTTAACTCGTTCTGATTTTATGACGTGTTTGAATACGTTGCTCTTCGGAATGGGCGAGAAAGGGAAAGAGGCTGTTGCTTCCTTTTATGTGGATGGTGTACCACCAGTGCTTAGAGACTCATATGGCGATATCCTAGACGATATATCGGGGGATAATATATTTAAATGTCCCGTCATAGAATTTGGAAATATCATTTCTAACCGTAGTAATGTATATTTGTTTACATTTAATGAAAGGGTTGAATCATTGCCGTGGCCGGAATGGATGGGAGTACCTCACGGATATGAAATAGAAGTAGTCTTCGGTCATCCATTAAACCCAGCGTTGCAGTATACTCCTTCGGAAATTGAACTGAGTAAAAGAATGATGAAATATTGGACAAACTTTGCAAAAACAGGGTAAGTTTTTTTTCAAACAAAAATAAAATGCACTTCTCAACATATGGTTCTAATTGTTGTTTGCACAATAGACCGTAAGGGTAAACTGTACAATATTTGACGGACAGAACAAACAATGCACGAACAGAACGGGCAATAGATATTCGTCCAGAACGACGAGCAACCCAAAGGGAAATATTTGGAGGTTGTAAGATAGGGTATTCATTTAGAGCGACATCAAATGAAAGCAAGCGTTGACGATGTGTATTCGTAAGAGCTAACTGCGCAATAACATGAATTATTGGAAACTATGTCAAGAAAAAGAAGGTGTTGGTTTCGAATCCATCTGATTAAAATACAGATCTACCATTCGTTTCGGTTGATATACTTACAATGGTCTCCAACGCGTTAAGATATGACTGGCTGTAGGTTAGTTCTAAATGTTAAGGCCACCATCAGATGTCGTCAAGGTCACGAGATGTAAACCACAATACTCGACAACAATCACCCCCAACTCTATTTATATCTCGTGACTTTGACGAAATATTCAGGTGTCCTTAATATTTAGACCTGACCCCCTAGTGCAATGGGCGACACGCTTCTATGTCGTCAGCTATTTGATTAACAAATCAGCTTTGGTGTTCCAAGTGTTTACACAGAAATAAGGGGGGTTGGATGGCTTAGTGGTTAGCACGTGCGCGCTGTATCATTAAGTCTGTCATTGAGTCAACTGGCGTGGTTTCGAACCCCCGGTTGTATGTGACAAGGAGTAGGGTCGCCTGTCCAACCTCGTGGGTTTTCTCCGGGTCCTCCAGTTTCCTCCCACTGCTAAAGACCCCTACGCTCAAGCGAATTATAGAAATAAAATTGAACCATATGTTAGTCCCTAAATGACCTAGTTTGTGTCGAGTGGACGTTAAACCCCATTTCTCTCTCTCTCTCTCTACACAGAAATAAAACTTGTGCTTTGTTTTCTATGCTTTATATGTCCACTCACAGTTCTGCGAATCACGATAAGAACTTGACCCAACAGACTAGGCTAATCCCTCGCATCACCAAGAATGCGGGTTATTTAACAACTCTTTCAGATAATGTTGGAGTGAAGGCAAGGAAAACGAATTTTTGAATTATATGAAACGAACGAAACAAAATAGAATCTGTGTTTTAATCAAATTGGTTTCGACTTATCCGTTTTGTAGTGCCAACGTTTGATACGAGATCTATATAAAAAAAAATTGTTGTTTCAGAGATCCAAACGGTTTAAACCTGGCTGCATGGCCGAAATATAATGTTACATCGCAGGATTACGTTATTCTCGACTCCAGCACGACTAACTATATACAACACGGTCTGCGCACTTCACAGTGTTCCTTTTGGTCTTCCATAGTTCCATTAATACAGAATACAGGTTTGTAACCATGGTAGCCAGTTATTGTTCAAATCTTGCATGCTGCTTCTCAACAATGCTTCGCATGATGTCGTTCTCTGCAAACTGTACGATTGTCAGAACACTCGTACAGAAATCAGGACTTTATCCAAATGAACTAGACAATTACAGACCCATGTCAAATATTTCGTTCCTTGGCAAACTTATAGAAAAGGTTGTTTTTAACTATCTATCCTATATCTCCACGTACTGCAAGTTCCAGTCGACATTAGCGAATTCCATTCCACTGAGACTGCGCTGGTAAAAGTTTTTAATGCGTTTTAATCTCATTGGACAATCATCGGTGGAAGCGGACGTAAAATACAACTAACACTAACTAACTCATCACGAAGTCGTTCTGGTAATGCTTGACCTTTCGGTAGTATTGGATACCTTCCAATAGACGCTGCGGATTCAGTGGTAAAGCCCTCTCTTGTTTTGAAACCTGTTTAGTCGACAGAAAACAATCTGTAAAAGTAAGCTATGTATCATCAAGACATTATTATTAAGGTATGGCTTTCCGCAAGGCAGTGTGTTAGGTCCGGGTTTTGTTCAGTCTGTACTGCACACCACTTGAGGACATTATAAAGAAGCATGGCCTTGATTTCATGGTTTACGATTATGACACCCAAATCTATTCTTCATTCAAATCTGGAAAATTGTGTAATAATTCACGAGAACAATGTGTAGATAAAATCAGGGCATGGATGGCAGCAAACAGACATGTTTTTAACGACGGCAAGAAAGAGGTATTCGGAGTAAACCGATGAGGTTGAGAAGGCGCCCCTCCAAGCCACATACGCTCACACCAAGGATTGAAACCACGATCGTGCGTCAAGAGGTGACAACCCAGGTAGAGCGGGATACTCTAGACCACTAGGCCATCTCAACCCACTAGGTCACAAAAATATATATGTAGATAAATTGGTGCTAAATTAAATGTGCCTTAATGTCTCAGATCTTTACCATTTTGTTAGCTTTTGTGTGTGTTTTTTTTTTGTTTTAATAAAATAATAAATATGACAATTTAATCCATGAATATCTGGTTAATTTCAATTTCTGTTGTTTTAGTGGAGCGACTAAAGTGTTATTTCTACGGGAATCGTTCACTTTATGATAAAAGGATAAAAAGGAGCAGTATGATAAAAGTTTACACAGGAGTAATATGATATACTTAAAGGATCATAAACAATGTACGCCCAAATAAATAACAATGCCTGTTGCCCGTCATCTTAAATTTCAAAATGCTCACTAAAATAACCTATTGTTGTTCAATTCTCCAATTTGGTAAACAAAATGGTGTTCTACATTAGGTGATTTAACTAACTACACATTCATATCGGACATGGATACATCATTTACATGTACATATAGTGTGTTAATGAAGGAAAATGAGGTTTTATGTCTTATTTTTCTGCATCAACCGGGATAATCACATCTTCAATAGAAGGCCTGATCTCATTTGACTCCGTACATCTTATCAAGCCCTTCACGTAATACACTGCATATGTCGGCACTAATTTCGATTAGCTGCTGACCCAGCTTGGGGCTTATCAGATTCCTCGATCATCACGAATGCCAAGCCTCTCACTTTCCAGTTAAAATGTCTACCTCTTATACCCGAGTTGCAAAGTTCAAGGTTCGCTCAATGTCAAGAATGATGTGTAGGTTGCCATGTTTGATTTTAGTGTGTTTGTGTCACAACCTCTGATTGGACGCTATTGTTCACGGGTTTGCGTTAAAGGGAGATGACGTAGCTATACGTCCGGGAATTGCAGACAAGCCTAGCAACGTCTAGATGTTGTATAACTCACGGCTGGTGCTTCAGTAACATTGGATGATTAGTACAATGTGCTATGGTAGATATTCTGGTAGGACACCGTGTCCAATGGTATGAGGATCCTTAATGTACCGCCAATCGCATGCGAAGAATCTCATCCTGTCAGACTCACCATCCAACACTGCACTCCTTGTTGGTAATTAAGCCCGCGGTTCCCCATTAAAATACCGACACAACTTGGCCTTGTAAGAAAGATATTGAGATAATTCTGACGGAGATTTTAAATTATTCTTGATACAAAATTCTGCATCGTGAGCACGATATAGAGCTCTCTTCACACGTTTAAAATCCGATGGTGCCGTTTAAACTGATACTGAGATAACTTTCTATTTATTTCGGATACAAAATAAAACCCATGAATTATAAAACTCATTATTTACCCCTAACAAACAAACAAACAATCGAATATAAATTAGTTTATACATTCATATTCACTATTATATGCGTTGCAACCCATTTGTATCCATTTCTAGGTGCCAAAAATTAGCCATGTAGCTCATTTAACTAAGATAATAGGGCCATATCTAACTCAATCTGGAGCCACGGTGGCTAGGTGGTTAAGACGCTTGCTCGCTAGCCTGGAGGTCGGGTGTTCGATCCCTGCATTGGCCGAGAAAGTTCATCCAGATTTTCCGACGTGGTTTCCCCTTGTCAGTGGTGCAGAACGGAGGGCCTGACAAGGACAGCTGTCTAGTCCTTCGGATGAGACGAAAAACCGAGGTCCCGTGTATATATTGGAATAAAGGTAAAAGATCCCCTGGCAGTTGGAATTCGATATAAGAGTAGGCGATAGTGCCGCTGCCCGGGCAAGATTTCCCTCATAGCATACTGTATGGCGTATGCCCGTCTTCATTAGCCCAGTATAGGAGCAGAACAGTAGGACGTTAAACCCCATTTCACTTCATTTCATTTCATTTCTAACCCAATCTGATTAAAACACAGACCCTATACCGTTTCGTTTTTATAGTTCATAATTTCGTTTTACTTGTCTGGTTGATAGCCAATAAACGGTCTGTTACAGCGAGTTTTTCGCATGCGGTGTACAGAACTGTGGGTATCCTAGTACAAACATCAACGACCCCTGACGCGACCTTCCACTACAACTGGTCAGATCTTCGTGTAGTGGAGGGGTATCATAGTACAAACATCAACGATGATTAGTAAATAAACAGTCTGACGTTGTAAGTTCAACGTCCGCGTGTATGGCCCCTGACGCGACCTCCCACTACAACTGGTCAGATCTTCGTGTAGTGGAGGCCATCAAAAGTATAAAAGATAGGTTGCCAGGCAACGAAAAATACGCCGACAGCAGCTAAATCGTCCGGGCAGTCAACAAGAGTTGTCAAATATTTTTAATTTTCGGTAATGAAACATTTATAATACACTAAAATCTGATAAAATTTAAAGTCAATCGGATATGAACTTTGACCTCTAGGCCGTCCACAAGATTTTTCAAAGTGATTAAGGGCCATTACTCTGGCAGTAATTATCGGATATTGCTGAAAATCAATAGGCTTCTTCGTCTTATGACCTTAAACACTGTGTATAAATTTAAAGTCAATCGGATATTAACTGTGACCTTAAGAGCGTCCACTAGATTTTTCAAAGTGATCAAGGGCCATAACTCTGGCAGTAATTATCGGAAATCGCTGAAAATCAATAGGCTTCTTCGTCACATGACCTTAAACACTATGTATAAATTTAATGTCAATCGGATATTAACTTTAGCCTCTAGAGCGTCCACAAGCAATTGTGGACGACGGACCGACAGACCGAGGGACGGACGGACGGGGGCGACGACAATATACAACTACATTTCTCCGGGTACTCCGGTCTCCCACTGCTAAATGACCCCTACACGCAAGCGAATTATTGAAATAAAATTGAACCGCGTGTTAGTCCCAAATTGACCTAGTTTTGTCGAGTGGACGTGCATTTTTTATGAATATTGCAAGGTGTTAATTTATATTGTTATATATGTGGAGTAATTTGTTTCTCGATTCAAAAGCAATTGATAGATACTTGCCTAGAATTGTCAATTCCTTAACGGGGCATTTGGTATGATAAGATAAAGAGCTGACAGTTTTCGCTATAGCAGAATATGCTAAAAATTTAAGTCAAATTACTTCACTCTGAGCCGATTCAACTTTAGGCTGGCGCCGATCGTCATTACTAACGTTGGTGCGATAATAAACAAAGTGTCGATTATCCATTTTTACGTTAAATCATCTATCACAAAATGTATTGAAATATACTAAATGTCGCAGGCTAACGTTTATGGTATAATTAATGTCTATTTAATAGTTTATATAACATTTCAGGCCTAAAGAAAGACGTACAATTAGGCAGATTTATCTCTTGCATAATATATAAATATTTAATATTACGTACAGAAACATTCCGATGTAATCTATTCTTATTAATCTCTTAATTACTCTAATTGGGTCAATAAGACCATATCTAACTCAATTAATAGTTTTAACATTCAATTATCGATATCTCGTTAACTCAATTATCACCCACAGTCTTTTTTTCTTTTTTTAAACAATATTTTATTCAGAAATTGAGGAACAGACATAGCATATATGACCTCTCTCCTAAATACAAGAATTAATATGGATATGTAAAAGAAATAAGTGGGTAAACAACAAAACAATACAAGGAATACTTAATAATACTTAATCAACATTTTGTATATACATATTCACACATCAGCTACGCAGTTGTTCATGTTCGCATTTTGATCGATATAGATGTTACACTGATCTTAAAACCTGCTGCTGTCAAAAAAACAAGTGGACCTTTTCAAAGATGGCTAACGAAATATGACTGCTGCTTACACCATATAACAAATTATGTGTATTCTTAAAATTAGGTGGTAAACGATTTATAGATATTTTGCGAGTATCAGAATGTAAGGAGCAATGTTAAAGAAAATGATCGGTATCTTCGAAGGAATGACCGCAATAATGTCGGAAAGACTGCATATGAAGAACATTTTCTAAGATTCTAATCAACAAAGTTGCTAACTCAATATCATCCACAGTCTTCGACATTGAAAACACGACTTATTGGCCAATTTAAATAAACATTGATGTTATCTTACCGTGAAAAGTTCGGCGTCTGATATCCAATATTTAAGACCAAATGAAATGTTTTTAAAATTGGCACACGAATCATGTGCCAGAATGCTTTCGAGCGCCAGTTGCATGAAGCGACTTCATGAACGAGGCTAAACATATCCCAGGTAGGAGTACACTACCGGTATAGATTGGAATAACCAGACGCCAAAGACTGCCATTCAATTCAGACTCTTGGCGTATTTTGCCTAACATGACTAATTAGAAATTGCAGTAAAAACATAAACGATTGGATGTAAATCAGTCTACATACATTTATATTACATTATTATATGCGTTGCAACCCATTTGTATCCATACTAGTCCATTTCTAAGTGCCGAAGAATAGCGATTTAGCTCTTTTAATCTAAAATAAAATGACACAGGGCTAAACGTACATGTACTCGGTTATTAACAGAGAATCAATTATAACGGCCAAGGGTCTCTATATTACAAGTTCGAGAGAGTTGTGCTAATTTTGAAAAAGTCGGGCGTCAGTGGTGATTCGTGGCGTATATGTGGTGTTCCCCAAGGATCCTTTTTGGACCCGATAATCTTCACAATGTATACAAAGACGTTAGGTAAAGTTATTCATGACCATAATCTGCTGTATAATTTTTATGTTGATGATTTTCAGCTCATGATTGACAGCTTCAAGCCACTTCCGATCGATCAAAATGTCGTCATCAAGAATCTGGAAGGGTTTCTCGATAATGTCACAAAATGAATATGATGCAATATGCTTAAACTCAACGATGAAAAAACTAAGTTTCTTCTCGTTGGTCCTACTAACAGACGTAAGAAATGTGACATTCGATCGATCCGTATTGAAAACACGGAAATACCTGTCTAGTACTGTAAGAAACCTTGGAATTCTTGTCGATTCTCGTCTCTGTTTTGAAAACCATATGTGAACAACATCTGTAAAATTGGTGTAAAATACCGCCAACTCATTAACCTCTATATCATCCCGTTATCATGTGTGCGTGTGGAATATAAGGCCTATTACCCATGCAAGTCATGGGTCTCGGAAATAGATCGGTAAGAGCACTGCGAACTGGACTCAGGGGCGTACATATC